CACTTTCTTTCGTCGGTTCTTCCGCCCTTTCGTCGGTTCCAAGCGCGTGGCCCTTTTCCCTTTCGTTCGATCCACGGCCCCCCCACTCTTCATAGCTTCCTTTTTTTTTTCTTTTTTATTAGTTCCATCGTCACGGGCGATCGTGATTCAACCTGACGCGCAATGGAACACAGGCTCTTTATTCTTTCTCAATGCTCCGATGGAAATAGAATCGCGTGTATTGGCGCGGTCGTGCCTACAACGGAGGAACAAAACGCGTGCACCCGCGTTTCGGTGCCGCACAATGAACAACAGGAAGTTCGATCGATCCCTGTGCTCTTCGACGATCATTCGCGCCGCGGCCGTAGTATTTATTTAAGGGGTCATCGTCAAATAGGTTCGGCCCACTTGTTGCGTAAACCGCAGAGGACCCGAAAGTAGAGGAGAACTTTAAAGGGAAAGCCCCGGTGGGCGTTGCTTCCGATTTTACTCGGTCCGTTCGCCGTCCCGAACGGGAACGGGATCGTTCAAACGAACAGGCTTTCTCGCTGTGCTTCTTAATTAACAAACTATAGCCGCATCTCGCTATCACCGCTTTCCTTTTCCTTTTAATTTTCCTTGTTTCGTCGACAGCAACGCTTAATCTGAACGCAGCTACATATCGCGCCTCTTATTTGCTTTTACTGTTTAATGCGAGTATATTTTTAAATTCTTACGTAAGTTCGATAAACCGCGTAACACATTATGTTCGAATCGAAAATCCAAGGGATCCTTTCGACGTTCAAGACATTGTCATGTTTGATAAGCAGTTAAAAAAAAAATGAAAATTAGTTTAAATAGGATTCGTGTATTTCGACGAAGTTACGAAAATAAGTACGACGAATGGTAGGTTACGTAGCTTTCGGGAACAAAATTTTTGGCTTCGTAGAGAATGTTACGAATATTGGATTTGGCGGTCGAGTAAATTTTCTAACGAAAAATTGAAACTCGACGGAAATGTCTTCGATCGAGATTCGAACATGAGACTAGTCATAGGTACGTGTGTTTTCCCGACGATCGGAGAAATTTCGAAGATCGTCGGTGGAGCGTTTCGTATGCTATGCGCCTAACCTCCAAACCTGGTACACTGGATACGACGACAACGACGATGACAACACGGTTGCAATAGTTGCCGCGTGCATTCATCGATGACACGGTGCGCGCGTACGTGCACGCGTGTGCGCTACAACGTATAGGTACGTCGCGTACAGTAAATGTATGTACGCTATTACGGCAGGCGCGCACGGTTACTTGGACGGAAAAGAGCGCGACAATTACGTTCGAAGTGAATAAGCATGGCGCGGGGGAAAGAGGGACGAGCGTCGAGAGAGGTAGTGTTAGAGAAAGAAATATCGTCGCGCTGTAAGCAGGAGAGACAGAGAGAAAGAAAAAGTGAGTGAGTGAGAGAGAGAGAGAGAGGGAGGGAGGGAGCGCAAAGACGATACGTACGAGGTACTGGCAGAAAAAGAGGGAGCAAGGGTAAGACAGGAAAGAGGAACAGAGAGAAAGAAGAAGAAGAAGGGAAGCAAAAGAAAGAAGAAAAAGGTACGCACACGTTTAGGGTGGCAGGAACGTGTAGTGAGGTAAGGACAGGGTCTGCGAGAGAGACGGAGGATAAGCTGGGAGGGTGGGATGCACAAGGTGGACGGCAAGAGGGTCGAGAGGGCAAGAGGGAAGGAGGGAGAGAGAGAAAGAGATAATGAGAGGGAGTGAGTCGCGGCTGCGTCATGTTCTCAGCGAACTGGGTCAGTGGGTCTCCCCACCGCCTCGCGTCGTACATCTACTGCGACGTACACACAGAGAAGCACTGGCACTGTCGGGGAGTGCCAACGGCGTTACTGTTGACCCAGCCACGGCCTGTATGTGGCCTGTGCGCCTGCCCTGTGCCCGCTTACCGTGACTCTGTGTTTGGCTCCCCTGTGCTCTTTGAAAGCAAGAGTTGTTCGCCAGCTCTACCGTACGCGTTCGATCATCCTCGCGCGCGAGGCGCGCAATAAAGCAAAAACAATCTGACGCATGGTTACGAAGTCGCTATCCAAATCCAACGATACCTCGCGATTCCGCCAGGAAACTTGTACCCGTCGGTTCGAAAATCCTAACGATATTTCTGTATCGATAAGAGGCGACGTATCGGAGCGCGTTCGTTTCGCATCGCATTCAATTCCTTTACGGGTCGTAGCAGAGTTTACCGGGACGAATTCTTGCGCTATCGAAGTCGATTAGAGTCGAATCCCGTGCGGGCTCGTGTACACGTGCGTCTGGGTATCCGCCGGCACCACCGACGACAAATACGGTCGACAAAACGGCGGCGGCAACGGCAGCAGACCGGCGCGGGAGCCGTGCGAGGACAATACTTCTCCCGCCGACATAGACCTGGTTCCGTAAGTAGGTCATCCCCGCCATCGGGCGCGCAACCTCCTTCTCCCCTCCTCCCCCAATCCCTTCGACCGCGGCAATACCTCCCGACCTCCCCCGTCCTCCTCTATCCGACGTTCCCCTCCCCTCCCCGAACCGCGTGTTACCCTCCCCACCAGACGGGGCCCTCAGTGGCACCTCCACTACTCCGTCGGGCACCTGGCCGCGCGCGGTGGCATGCGCTGCTGAATCACTTTCACTTATGCCGTGCGCTGTGTTGGTTATACGCCGTGCTTCTCTCTCTTTCTTTCTTTTTCTCTCTCGCACCCGCGCTCTCACACTCGACCCGTGCCCGTCGGTAAAGGGACACGCGCGCTCGTTCTCTCCTCTCCTCTATACCCACCGAAACGCCAAGGGAGTCTGACGGTGCGCGCCTCTCGCCGTTCTCCCGGTTCTGCCAATTTTATTTTACTCCCGACGGTGTCACGGTGAAGCGCGTATCTCTCTACCGGTCGAACCGCGCCGCGTTCGTTTTCGACCGTGCAAGCAGTGCCGCCGCTTTCGAAGCGTGGTGTCCCCGCGACGACAACTGTGTGTGTGGTTTTACTTCGTTTCGTTTTATCGGCGAGCATCGGTGCGAACGGTAGCGCGTGTGATACGAAGAAAGAAGACGGTCTCCGTGGAGAGTCCCCCGTGTTTCGCGTATACCGTCGTTGTTGCTGTTCGCGATATACGTAGACGTGTGCCGTGTCTCGCGAGACGGTCTCCCGACTCTACCTAACTCCATGTGTCGTCGGTAGGGCAGCAGAGGGGAGGGGGCGGGCCCTTCGGGAAAGCAACGAGGCGAGAAGACAACTAGTCGTACGCAGATAGCCGAGCTGTCAAGTCGCACGTTCAGGGGGACCTGGTGGATTCGCTTTTTCTGTCCCTCTTTTCACTCTCCTCCCTCTCTTTATCACTATCTCTCACTCTCTTCGCTATCTCACTCTGTCACACTCTACGTCCCTCTGTCTCTCTGTCTCGCTTCAGCCGGACTTTATGCGCCCTCTTTTTCAACGGTGCATTACTTGGATTGCAGTGTGTGTGCGCGCTACCTTTACTCGCCCTATTTACCTCGCGCTTCGCGGCGTTACGTATTTTTGTGACAACGCCGTGGGTTAAACTTTGTTTCGTGTACGCGCATGTGTGACCACCACGTAACGTTACCGGCGATCCTCGCGTCGCAAGAAACAACGATCCGATTGTTTTCTCTGTCCTGTGATCGATTCGCGGCGGTCCTCGTGGCGTGGACGGCCAGTTTAATCTCGCGTGTGCTCATCGTTGTTTCGTGTCACGATATAACGCTGGATTATCAGTGCCCGCGACGACTGAAAGATTGTAACGGGGGACATTGGTGGTTTGTTGTTTCGCGGGCGTACGAAGACGCGCCGATAAGGTATCCGACAGTGACAGCCATTTTTTACGCAAACACGATTCTTCCCATTCTACGATGATTCGGACGTATCCGTACGGTTCGAAGCGGAGTGGTGCGTGATGGTTTTGATCCGTAAACCTGTGCCGTAGGAAACCGTGATTTGGTGATCGATACATACACATATATATATATACAGATATATATATATATTTATACGTGCCAAGGTACTGAGTGTGTTTTCTCACGCGCTTATGCTTTCGTCTAAATCGTCATCGTCGTTGTCGTCGTCGTCGTATCGTCGTTGTCTGCGACAACGTTGTACGCAGCCGGTGGTACTCTAGCACGCAAGTACCACGACCTTGCACGACGCGTGCACCGTTACGCTTACTAAACCTAAAGGGAATCTATAACCGCCGCCTGTTGTCGTATGCGCCAATATATCGTTACCACGGTGGCCAAACGAACGAGAATTCTTAGCCGTTTCATATATGAACCGATACGCCACGAGCACGTTCCTCCGTGCAGTGCTTGCGCAAGGGTGATATGTTATTGGAGATGGAGCAGCATTCGGGCCTGATATCCCTGAATATGTCGCCGTTCCATCTAAGCCCACAGGGTAGTCCCCAAGGTGCGGCCGGCGCCGGCCAGCAACAGCAACAGTCGCAACAACAGCAACCGCATTACGGTTCCTCGCCTTACGGCAATTGCGCCCAGAGCCCACCCGCGACCATGTGTCACCAATCTCAGTCGCAGCAACAGCAGCCGCAACAGCAGCAACAGTTGTCGGTTCACAGTCAGGCGCACTCGCAGGGCGGTATTTCGAGTTTCGACGCCGCCTTCTTCGACTCCACCGCCCTGGAGGAACGGTGCCCGATGTGCGGCGACAAAATGTCCGGCTATCAGTACGGTCTGCTCACGTGCGAGTCGTGCAAAGGTTTTTTTAAACGCAACAGTTCGCCGTGCAGCAGCAAAAAAGTATACACGTGTTTGTTCTCCCCGACGGGAGGCGGGGGTGGAGGGGGAGGTGGCGGCGGCGGCGGCGGTGGTGGAGGAGGAGGAGGAGGAGGAGGAGGAGGAGGAGGAGGAGGAGGTGGCGGCGGCGGCGGCGGAAACGGTAACAACAGTGGAAACGGTGGTTGCGGCGCATCTTCGGCACTCGAGATCGGATCTTGCAGCACCAAGAAGGTGTACACGTGTCTGTTCTCGCCAACAGGGGCCGGGGGCGGCAACGGTACCAATGGCGGCACCAACGGCGCGGCTAACGGCGCTGGAGGCGGCTGCGGCACGTCGACGGCCCTCGAGACCGGCGGCAGCGGTTACAACGGCGGTACCACCGGCGCTGGGGGCGGTGGCGCGAGTGGAGGTGGCGCGGGAGGCGGTGGTGCTGGTGCCGCTGGCGGCAGTGGGCCCACCGCGGGAAACGCCGCTGCTGGCGGCGGCGGTAACGGTAGCGGCACCGGGGGCGGCGGCAGCGGATCCGCTACGGTAAGCGGCAATGTCGCGATTCCAACTACCACCTACTCTTTACCATCTGGTACCCTTTGTCATCCTGGATTGGGCCAGGTCGGTGTTGGTGTCGTGACCGGATCTATACCGTGCCCGTCCGATTTCCCCGACACCAAGGACATCATCATCGAGGAGCTCTGTCCTGTCTGCGGCGACAAGGTCTCCGGATACCACTACGGGCTACTCACCTGCGAATCCTGCAAGGGTTTTTTCAAACGCACCGTCCAAAACAAGAAGGTCTACACGTGCGTCGCCGAGAGGTCCTGTCATATCGACAAAACGCAACGGAAGCGGTGTCCCTTCTGCCGTTTTCAGAAGTGCCTCGAAGTCGGCATGAAGCTTGAGGGTGAGTTTTTTTTTTTTTTGTTGATTGTGACATTATTAGCAGCTATCTATTCTTGCTTTTACGTGCTTTGAGACGCGTTCCCGTGCGTATTCTCTTTCCATCGTTCCGAGTACAGTAATTCCTCGCTTAAAGAAGGCTTCCTTCGTTTGGTCGTAAAAACTGGATCATATTTGATCGTTTCTTTTTCTTTGAACTATTCGGTATGACATCCTTTCTTTTACCACGCCACAAGAAGTGCTTTTCCAAGTGCTCTGGCACAGGAAAAACCGAGACAATCTTAAATTATACGAGTATGCGTTCAGGATCGACTAAAAGCATCAACTCGTGTCGGGTCATGAGACTTTCCCTTGAAATTACATTACAGGTCTCGATGTTTAGAATTCTTTTTTATCGGAATACGATTTAAAAAACTAAATCATCCCCACCACTGTTTACGTTTCTTCGAAAATAATCGAATGTGACAGCCATTCATGTAAACTAAAAAGTTTTAGTACAACCTTAAAGAAATTATTGGTGCATCGTTCGTCATCGCTTTAAAGTTTCAAACACTTGCCAATTGTTGTTCTATCTCGCTTATTTTCTCAAACATCGACTATCTTCCGATCCCCTAAATTCTGCGCCGACCCTCGATTCAAGCAAACCGGCGATCCCCATTTCCGATCATTGAGCGGGGAATTACTGTACGCCGACTCCGAAAGTTTCGAAAAACTCTGAGACAGCAGAGTGATGCGTAAGGTAAATAACGATACACAGAACTTCGTACCGTTGCGCAAGCAAATTTTATTCGGGCGAGACGATATGGGTGCTCATTTTTTGGATGTGAAAGCGTTGCATGCGGGTGTCGTCGCGATTTTTATGCAGAAGGTGAAAGAACGAAAGCGCACACGTCTGCGCCCGAACCAGACTTCGACGTACAAATTATGCAATATAATCCCGGGACCTGCGTTTTCTCCGCGCAGTTCTGCGCGTGTAACCAGATCCCGTGCCGAAAGCATCCCGCGCGCGCGCGCGTCGAATTCGAACGCGAGCATAAAATTTTAGCAGAGCGTGTGCACGTCGTCCCCGTAGATTTTTATACTTTATGATCGGCAACAGGTTCATAATGGCTCACCGCGCTGACGAAATATCGCCAGTATGCAAATAATCGCTACTGCGAACCGTTGATTATTGCTCCCGACCGTGTAAAATTCTATTGTAGTGCGATTATTTACTTTCACCGGGCGTTAACGGGTGCTCGGAACAGCTCTCGTAATATCGCCGGTGCGTTAACGTTACCACATTATTATCAACCTTTCCGTTATCTCTTATTCAATATCTTTTTCGCGTATACGTACCTCGCGATACGTCAAAAGTCGTTTACGCGCGAACGCGTGCACGGCAGTCGACGGTTCGGCAACTTACGGACACCGTCGGTGAACTTCGGCCAGGCCCGTTCCCGTTCGGGCGTTCTCGCATCGCGCTCCTACGAACTTAACCTTATTACACACCGCGGTGCGATCAACCGATACACCGTCTTCCTTTGCGAATTCTTTCATCGATTTTACGTTCCTGATTCCACGTACGAGCATGCTTTCCTCTATTTCCTCCCCCTTTGTTTCTATGTTGTTCCTACGAATGCATCGCATCGTCGCATTTTAATATCGCCTCGCGACCACGTCGAACGCGAAACCGATTAGGCAAACCGTTCTTACATGCGCAATCAAGAAATTCGCGATACAGTCGCTGCCAGTTTTCGAAACACATCGCGCCGGCCTCACGGTTTTTATCGTTCGATTTTTGATTCGCTTTCCGTGCGCGAATTATGCAGATTTTACGGGAAAGTCAAGCGCGAGCCGCGGCGATTGGCGAAACCGCCGGTACGTCGTGTGTCCCACCGAAACACGGGTACTTTTGGCTCATTACTAGGAGGACGAGGCGTCTAATGCAATTCGAGTAACTGGGTCTAGGCCCTCAAGGCCCGGCGATTAAGCGAATCTCGAAACTGGCTCTGTTGCAATTGCCGCCTTTGCACACGCCGTTTTCCACGGCGTTCCTGCAGCGGCAACGGGGGCTATTGCTTAACGCGGAAAGTTTCCAGAGTGCTTGCGAGTGTTTACGAAAGGAAGCAGTTTCTTACCTCGCGCGTTATTCAGAAATGTAAAAACGCCCGTCAGCGTATGAAAGTTCCAACGATTTCTGTACACGGGTACTCGAATTCTTTCGTGCCGAACGACCGATTTGATCCCGATCCGTTCGAACTCTACGCGATTTTTTAACCGTCGATGCGCCATCTTAAAAATTCTTCGAACCAGTGGTTCTTAACCTGTGCTCTCCGCGGGGGCTTGTGTACCTAGAGCGAAACAAATATACCTCGCAACTGTTAGGCATATCAATGTATCGCTCGTATTACGGACAAATTATCATACGTATCTACTTCCGTTATAAAAATCAACATTTAATGTCCCGCCAGTGAAAGAAATGTTTACATAGCGTTAGAACGAAGCGCACGAACGTCTGGTTTAATAAAGATATTTTCACAAAATATCTCGTAAACTGTTCATTTTTCGACAACATTACCCTAACACTTTTTTACGTAGAATGATCGAAGGAATCGATGTGTATAACAATAGGGAGGTATTCGTTCAGGAAAACTACAACCTCTACACGTTAGAACAGATTGTTTATAACACAAACTTAAACAATATACTTTTGCCTGTCCATGAGATAATTTTAACCCTTTGCACTTGAATTTCTTTTTCATTCTTATTACCAGCAACTCGCATTAAAAGAAAAGTCATCGTTGTATGTTATTATTTTTTTAATTGATCATGGATACAAATGTTATGATGTATAAAAAAATTATAAAATTATTACAAGGTGTGATACCTCTCGAAGCAATCGTCAATATGTAATCTTAGGGTTTCTATAGAGATATCACAAAAATAATGGGTCTGCTTGTCCTTGTGTTATGAACTGATAATTATTTGCGTTGCCCTCGAGTGCAAAGGGTTGAAACACATTTTCATCAGTATGTTATCTATGTTAGAAATCATGTTCAGTTTTCAATCGTAGACGTGTGTATTTGGGACAATTTTTTCGTTGATCGATCGATATAGCGTGATTCGTTGGTTCGCGGGCTCGAAGAGGAGTACGGCACGTTCGAAGACAAAAACAACGGTTAAATGCACTTGTGTTAATCGCGCTACAACACCTGTCACAGTTCTGCAACAGACCTGCTGTTTGCAGCGGCCCGTGAATACGAGAGCAAGGCTCATTCAACGTAATGAACGTTACCTCGGGCCTGCTTTAGAGCCGATTGAAAGCCATCTTCTTCGGGAAGCCCTGAACTCGCGCTATCCACGTTTATTATACGAGATTGTAAAATCCAGCAACTCTTTGCTCGAAAGTCATAAACGCGTTTCGAGTGAATTCTCGAAATTTACGCTGCAATGAAAACGATTCGCGTAACGTTTACGTTTACGTTTACGTTGCAAGCTGCTAGGCTTTGTATTATAAATTGACTTTGATGCTTGATGCTTCACTCGAACGATCGAAGCTTTTTTACGCGAAAGGAAGGCGAACCATCTTTGTGCTTGTAAATACCATTCGACGTTAGACCCGTGTTGTTCGATTTTTAATTTCATTTTTCGTCCGTTATATGCGCGCGAACGCGATCAAATATTGACGCTCTTCGGTCTTCGGTTTCGCAGCTGCGAATATTTCGACTGCTTGTTCAGTCAGTGTCCCTTATCCATTTTCGTCCGTACGACGAACTGTTTCACTTTCGAAATACCCAACGATTTTTTTCTTTTGAATTATTGAACACACCCACAGGCTAATTTATTATGCTTATAACTCTTATTTATAGCGTATTAGCGTGTTAGAAAAAATTCACAAATTGCATATATTCACGAACACTGTCCAATAATGAAAAAAAAAATTTACGCTAATATTTTGGATTTAAAAAATTTTCAAAGGACAAACACTCAAGACTACTACTTCGTTTCATTTGTTTAACACTAGATTTACGGGCATTGATCACACGTATATTTATTGATACCTTTCATGTTAAGGATTACCTTACAATACGATTTTTTTTTTAATTAGATCATGTATTCATGCCATTGCTTCAACATAAGTTGTTAAAAAATAATATTTACTCGTTCTGCAATTTTAAATATGGAATCAAACATCCGTGAAATTCGATGGACGGAACGGTTTGTATTGTAGTGTAATTTTTTTTTTGTTAAAGTTATGTTCGATTAGGCGAGGATGAATTTTTACTGGAAGATCCGAGCGTCTTGAAAACGATCGAGGATTCTCCGTGTTTGCATTGAGTAATGGTAGAAACCGAGAAACGTGTCAAGCAATATTACCGAGCGAAAAAAAAAAGCGAACGCAGAAGACCGTGTTTGTGTTTTAGAGTCTTAACATAACAGAACGTCGGTATTTAAAATTTACAACATTGCTCTTCGATTTCGCCATAAATCAACGTTAAATTGATTTCCTCGATACGTGTGCTACCGATCGTTACATTAAATTACAATTTATACGTTGGACGAAGTAATTTTTTATGATACGAGAATCCTTATACATAATTATGAATTATTAAGTCTTCATTTGTGTATTCTCGCCAAAACAAAAATGGAGGATTGCCAAAGGTATTGAGGTACATTTATCCCAAAACTAATAACTTTCGAGACATGTATTCAGTTTGTAAAGTAGCGTCGAAGCATCGTTTATTGTTTGTTTACACTGAAGATAATGAAACGTACACGTAACATAGCAATCTAAGAATTACATTTCTAACACCTTAATGTACAGAAATGTTTCCCATGTTACTTCATGTTCGGTATTATTCAAAGCTGAGAAGATATTTAAGTGATCTGTTAGAGAGAAACCATTTGCAGAAAACAGTGGCGCGAAAAGCTTGAAATTGACTTATGCAACGTGCAATACCTGGATCATAATGTTTTCGCGTTCTTCTAACAGAACAATAACATTTTTTCGCTATTCAAGGC